GCTGGGGGGGTTCAGCCTGGAGAGGAGGAGGCTGCGGGGAGACCTCACTGCGGCCTTGCCGTGCTGAAAGGGGGCCGACAAGAAAGGTGGGGACAGGCTTTTTAGCAGGGCCTGCTGCGACAGGACAAGGGGGGATGGTTTTAAACTGAAAGAGGGGAGATTCAGACTGGACAGAAGGAAGAAATCGTTTATGCTGAGGATGGTAAAGCACTGGCCCAGGTTGCCCAGAGGGGTGGGAGATGCCCCAACCCTGGAAACACTCAAGGCCAGGTTGGACGGGGCCCTGAGCAACCTGACCTGGTTGAAGATGTCCCTGCCCGTGGCAGGGGGTTGGGCTGGACGGGCTTTGAAGGTCCCTTCCACCCCAAAGCCTTCTGTGATTCTGCGGTCACCCCGGTACCCCCGCCTCGGTTCCCGCAGCCCCTCCTCCCACCGTGCCCAACGTCAGGGCCGTTCAGCAGCAGCCCCGCCAGCAGAGAGCCCCCTGCCCACAGCCCCCAGCCGAACGGGAGCCCTGTTCCCTGGGGCTTCTGCCCGGTTCCAACCCCTCAGCCTGGACCCCGCTCCCCTGCCCGCATGCGGTCACCTCCATCCCCGCTCCCACGACCTAACTTACCTGCACAAACCGCTTGCCTTTCAGGGAGATCTGGGGCTATTGCATTTTTCCAGAACACAGGTTAATCTGTTCTCGAGGAAAATTATTAACGTCTCGTTGGTAGAAATGAACCCCTCAGTGGGGCGAGGAGCAGCGCAGACACTTGCTTGGGTTTTGGTTTATAAAGACAGGCTGGAAAAGTGTCCGGACCGCCAAGTTGCAGCAGGCTGAGCGCCGGACAAACGCCTTTCCCAGTGCCCTTACCCATCTTTTACAGAGAGTAAGGAGCCTTCAGCACCGTCCTGTTGCTTCTGGAAATCTGAGTTCCAGTCTGTAAAGAGGTTAATCGGAAGCGGGCAGGATCTGTTCCTTCGGGAAGGTGTTGTACAGCAGACACCAAGACAAGTAAGCAATACCAGGACTTTAAAGGAATTGGTTCCTTACTATGGCGCAGATATATAGTGCCCAAATTCACTGTGTTGTAACCCTTTACTATTTCATCTTTAATAATTGTCAGACACTTACTTCTAAATACTTAGTGAGGCAAGGCTAAAAGGAAACCAAGGTGGGGGTGGGAACAAAACCCGGGTTCTGCGGCAGACCGAGTGGCGCAGTGACTAAAGCCAACCGCAGCCAGTTCCAAGCACAGCCCGCTCACCTCCCATGAAAGAGAGGGAGGCTGGGACACTTGGTACTGTTCGAATCCAAGCACTGAATGTCCAGACGTGACTCAGTGCCGATTACAAAAGAGCCTCGTGTTAACTTTCTACACAGTGACCTGCCTTACAGTGATTTCATTGTGAGATAACGCTTAGTTCACTGAAATAATAATTAAAAAAGCAAGAGGAAAAAGCCCTTTTAGATTGATTTTGCAATAGTAGTGCAACAAGAAGCCAATCAAAACACGACTTTTATTTTTAATTATAGAACTAAAAAGACTAATATTTTATTAACATAAGGTTGCAAATTAAAAGAGAAATGCCGGAACTCCTTAATAACCTCCACTCTAAAAATGCAGAAGACTTGTGCTTTAACCGTCGCCACAGCATCCTGCAGGGCCACGTCCTCCCTCCCCCGCCCCTCTCCCCTCTTCGAGGACTATCGAGAAATACCTCATTGACATCTTTCATCTGACACTTCCGACGGCTCTTCTAAAGCAGACACTCATCGCAGTCGTCGTCAGCCCCAACAGTTTGTGTGCCACACAAATAAAACCAACTTTAAATGAGCAGCATTCAGAAACGAACTGCAGACATTATCACCTACGCTGCAGATTTCCCTTTTTACAGAGCAGTAGTTGAACGCAGGTATGGGATAAATCAAACATGCACAAATGCACGTCTTCCAATTTTTTCTTACCCCATTTCCATTTTTTTCCTTAAAAAATTGTCTTCAGCAATCCACTTACTGCCTAGAACATACCTAAGCACAGCTGTCCCTAGAGCGAAACGTTTTAACTCCACCATTGCAAAGCATCCTACGCCACAAGTTCCCACCGTACGATGGAGTGCAGCTCCAGGGGGGCTTATGTAAACTGGAATATACCCAGGTTCTAAATATTTCGCTTCCTACAGGGATGTCTTTTTTGGAAAACCACAAATACTTCTGTCAAAATGCTGACTTGAAAGAGCAAAGTCAGGAATAGGGATGAACACCTACGATCGATGGTTTTCCTTCCACTACGTCTTCAAATTATTTGTGTTTGCATCCATGTTTAAAAGCACAACTACGCTCATTTTGTCTCTAGAAAGTGTTTGAGAAGAAAAGTGAAATCTCAGGAGACAGGCGAGCGCGGGGCAGGACTGCTGTAGCAGCAACCACCTCGCTTTCACATCTGAGAGAGGAAGAGCAGATTCTTCTGTAAACAGACGCTGCAGCATCATGGCCCGACCCACGGCAGCCACGGCTGGAGGACAAGCTCGCCACAACTTCCAGCAGCCCCAGAAGGCAGCCGTGGCTGGGCAGTGCTCCGAGGCTTAGACCTGGCTTAGAGAGCTAAGGTGCGGACTGTTTCCTCAGCAGAGTTTTGCCAGAACGCGAGTACAATTTGGTTTCCACAGCTAGCAAAAAAAATGTGATTTATTAGGTTATTGCAGTGGACATTTTGGCAGAGAAAGCAGGCGCGCTGAAGTATGCATCTGTCATTTCCAAAAAAAGCCACACAGTTTCACTGGTCCGGTTCAGAGAACGGGCCTGGACTGCACAGAAGGCAGCGCTTAATTCGGACAGCGGATGGGAGCAGGGCAGAAATAACGCGCCAGGGGACACAAGGAATCGGCAGCCAGCTTTGCTTGTTTGTGTCGAAGAAACTGTACCAGGGAAGACATTTCAAAAGACTAACGGTACAATCCACCGCGCCGCAAAGGCCTTCTCTTGCACAACTCGGGAGAGGGCCGCGCTGCTAAGATATTAAAAATAACATCCTTGTAATCCACTGGGTTCCCAAGCTGTGAGCAGAGACTCAACAACTTCCAGAGGAAAAACTAGGACGTTTTTGCTGTAAGCTTCAGCCGGTCGCAGTGGATTAGAGGAAATCCTTCAGCCAGCAAGAGAAGCGATTGCAATGGAAAATCCCGGCTCCCACCGGCGGGCGATCCAGCGGGTACCGCTCACGGGCACGCGGACGCACGCACCGAAATGAAGACAAGCATCTCATTTTCAAGTTGATTTTTGTAAATGGAAAAAAAAAATGTATAAAATCTATCCATACATTAACAGATACAGGAAGTTACACAATCCAGTTTACACCTACAGTAACAGCAATCAGTCCGGAACGAGAACAGGGAAAAAATTCCAACGCTCTCATTTGTCCGAAGTCGCTACGGGGCAGAGGACGGCGGGGGAGGGTGGGCGGCTGCTGCTTTTTGGTGTGTGGCTAAAACTGGCTACCTTCCCTACTTCCAAAGCAACGAGACAATTTCAACAGACACGTATTAGGAATACTTTTGAAATGTATCTGACTCTAGCATTAACACTGAATATTCAAAGGTTCATATTATTACAGCATAATGTTCGGATACTTCTGCCTCCAGGAAAGGGCAGTGGGCAGTAGATATTATCCAAGAGAAATCCTGCACCCGTCTTCGAATTTAAAGCGTTGACTGAGTTAAAGATTTTTACTTTATGATTTTTATCCATCCTGGAACACTTAAAATTTGTGTATCCTCAGCTCAGACATTTACAAAGCATGCAGAGACTGTTACTACTCAAGGAACGTTTAGGAGGCTACGGAAAACGTGCTGGTGGCTATTGGTCTAACTTTAGCGAACTCACGTCTTCCGTTACACGCAAGCCGCGCCCGGCAGTAGTTTTCCCCTCCCGCCTCCGTCTGTTGGAGGCCCCAGAAGGCAAGGCTTGAAGGAGCGGGCATGGAAGCTCGGGTACCATTTTAAGGAATAAACCAAACCAGCTACCAGCAGGGCCAGCTTGTGGGAACGCCTGCCCTGCTCCGGTGTACCCCTGGGCGAGCAGGGGCAGTCTGGGCGCAGAAAAGATGCCGGACCGAGTTTTGAAGGAAAGGGGAGGCACCTTAAACCCTGAACAGGCTCCCCGCGTTTGACAGGTGTATCCCACAGACACACACAAAGCAAGGCAGTAAGCTGTGCTCGTCATCCACCCGAAAGACCGCACCGTTTTTCTGAACGCACAGAATACACAGCCCCTTTTCAAAATAACAACAAGAGTAATAAAGCACAAGTGCAGAACCCAGACTGCTGGGGGGGTCTGTGTTTAAAAAACGTAAGAAAGAATAAAAGCTAATGCTGTAAAGACAACTATTCCCTTTCAAAGCAAAGGCCACATAAAACTGTGTTGCTCAGTTTGGTTTTTACTTCATGCCACCTGTAAACACAAGACTGGATATTCAGTTTCTGGGAAGAAATGAACCCACTTTTACATCCAGAGCAAAAGAAAGACCTTCCACCGCCCGGATCAGGGATTACCCAGGAGAAGGTAGCTGGGGGAAGGCTTCCTCTTCTCTTCGCTCATGTCATTAGAAAGGTCACATCTGAACGAAAGAGCTTTCAATAAAAGCACAAAACATTTCTTGATGTTATTTCTGCCCTCTGTCTCTAACGTTTGCTACGGGGACTAACACTTCCCATTCCTCTCCAACAGATACATCACCTTTTTGGCACCCCGGGTGGAAGTCCTTCCTAACGTATAATTTTGCCTTACACAAAAGTCGATTGTCTAATCATGCAAATCCAACAGAATTCCAAAAAGTGCCACAAGACAGCTCAACTCTTTGCAATCTACTACCTAGTTTGTACACTGCCATAGGAACCTCCCAGAGAACAGACTGTCATCCTCGCTGAGATCTGACGGCGTATTTCATTACGGCATTTCAACCTCTCTTTCTAGGGGGAGAGAGTCGAAATCCACGCCCCAATTCCATTGATTTGTCACGCTCAGAGCTCTGAAATGCATGGAGATTTCTTTGATTTGTTGAAGACGTCTTCACTGAACAGCCTGATTAGAGAAAAAACTTACTGATTCAATCAAATAGAAAATAAAGACAAAAACAGGTAGTGGTAGATTTCTCAATCTTTGCTCCTGTCCTTGGAGACTCGGGTAGAGTTTCACCGCTACTGCATTTTCCCCAGCTGGATCTTCTTCCAGGCCTCTGATGCTGTGAAAATGCAGGAGTCGAGGATCCCAGCTACAGTGAAAGTTCCTCCGATGATGGCACATATCTGAAACGCAGAGAGGGGAAACACGTTTGTCAGCGACCAGGGAAACCCCCCAGCCTGAAACCGGGGGAAGGCTCTTATTGCCCACTGCTAGGGTATTTTCTGGAAGCACAGTGAGAACTGGGTGACAGTGCTGGGGACGTAACTACACGACAGTCAGTCAGGAAAACCATCCCCTACAGTGGAATAACTTAGTGCTCTCCCAAACTCATCACAGCCTGAGCCGATCATAAATGCCAGCCCCGAGGAGCCCGCGGCAGGAACGCTGCTCCTTTCTGGGCGAAGCTCCACCTAACAACGCTTTCTAGAAGCTCTGCGTTGCTCACATCTTCCTACTACTGTTTTCTATTATAAATGCCACGGCCTTGTAGTCTTTTCCCTATTTCACAAGACGCGGCATTTGCAAACAGGCAAAAGACACTTAAATAGCCTGTGAAGGACAGTGACTAACAGAGAAACCCAGCTACCAGTGACACCTACGGCTCAGGCTGTCTAACACTTTCCATTGCAAGGGCTGCTTACAACAGCACCGCCAGCTTAACTCTTCGTGGGCCAAAGTTTTCCATGCAAGATGTCTCGGGTTGAATTATTTAAGCATCAGTAAAAACACGTAATCGTTTTCAAGAACAGAGTTAGGGAAAAAATTAATCTCCTGATTAGCCTAACAGCTTCAGTTCTCAAGTGCGAGAAAAACGCAGAAGTACTCTGACACGTCAAAGCAAAGGTGCTCGGGCTTGGAGCGCCCAAAATCAGGGGGCACCAGTTACGGACTCCGCAACACATTGCTTCAATCCCTTATCTGGGAAACGGGGACAACGCCAAACTTGCCTCCCAGGGAAACTGCGAGGGAAAACACATTTGAAGGGTTCAATACCACGACAAGAGCCGTCCCAGACTCCTTGTGGAAACACGCGATTGCGCTCAGGACGGGTCAGCACAACCCACCTGCAGCAGTCGAATACCGCAGGGTGGGAAGAAACGCTGCTCCCGGGGTGCCACCCCACCCCGCTGCACGAGGCAGGGTTCACATGGAAAGTATGATACACAATAATGTAACCCAATAACGTTTGACAGCCGAGTTATAATTACACAGCACCTGGCATTTCCTAACTCCCACATTTTTGACTTCGTAACTGTGATGCTCTTTTAACTTGGTCTTTTACATTGCGTAGGATTAGGTGGCTCTGAGAATAAGAGACACTGGGTCAGTGAGCACGGGACAAGGGACAGAGCTTATCTTCTGACAAGGGCCTGCCTAGGAAAAGGGGGGTTTTGCTGTGAGGCAGAAGCCGAGAGAGAAGAACCCCAAATCAGTACGCCAGTGTAGCAGGGAGGTGCAACACGACTGACGCAGACGGGAACCGGTGCCACCCCAGACCTACGGTGCCATGCCTCTTCTCCCGCACAGCACCGCACCCCCCCGGCAAAGCCACAGACAGGAGAGCGACACGAGAGGCTCGGTGGCAACAGAACAAACAGCTCGTTAACGGCGAGCAAAGGCAGCAAGAACTAAAGCACTCGTTTACACGCGTATTTATAACCGGGATATAGGCGTTTAGTGGCTTTTGCAGGACAGTTGGCATTCCAGCAGATAAAGGCTTCAAAAACCAGAGCACCAGCCTGAGGCAAAGTTTGTATTTTTAGGGGACAAGTCCGGCTCCTGCCCTCCGTGCCCCCCTCCTCGCCATCCCTCGGGGCATGACGCAGGCTGGCTTTTCAGGGAAAATGACCGCAATAGCTGGGTTATTTCAGTCACAGCAGCTCAGCTGACAGGAGATGTTACACCGCAAACAACAGAAAAACCGTCCAACACCAAGATTTTGCATCATATGGTAGGAAAATCTGATTTCAGCGCAGCAGTGCAAGGGGGTGGGGAACAGAAAAAAATATATATTAATCTGCACAGCTCTGTACCGCTGAGTGTTTGTGAGTCACGCACGCCTGGCACTCGCTTGGCGCCTGCCCCCAGCACACACCCGGCCCTCCTGTCCTTGCGACAAAAAAAAGGCAGCGCCGGGGCTGGCCTCCAGGTCAGCGCAGCAGCTGCACCGCTGCGTTTCTTCATCATCGCCGTTCTAATACGGATGGAGCGTTCCTCCTTAGCAGCACTGAAGGAACTTAGGCATCATGCACTTATTTATATTTAATGGAGTTTTATGCTGGAAATGATCTGTGTTTGGCTCCATGAGGTTAGTTTGACTCAGGCCCAACCATTAGAGGGGGAAGGAAAAGGAATACAGCAGTGTAGTGATGGCAGCAGCGAGAGACCATGCAACGTGGGCGCGCAGGAGGGTTCTGAACAGAACACGATTCCAGGCTGGGGGCTGGGATGCAGGCCGAAGGCTAACGGAAAACACGACTGGGTACGCAGTAGGGAGGCAAGGCTGCAAGAACAATGACAGAAGGGCAAGCGTCCGATACATCAGTGTGGGCCTGGGACGTCTTAAAATCTGAAAATTACTTTTGGGGACAGGGGGGAGCAGGAGGACCCGCGGGTAATTCCCAGTAAGGTAAGGCGCAGAATCCCACTCAGATTTCCGGATGACCTGCAGCACATCTTGTAGAACAACACTGTCTTGGTTCTAAATCCGCCACGGGGCTGAGTCCGTGATACCTGTCGGTAACAGGTCCCATGCCTGAAATAATTCTCCCTGCAACCATTTCCCCCTCCATTATTTCCAGTTTAATTTTTTTCATACCTAGAGGGCAGACGAGTCCTCTCAGATCAGGAAAAACATTCTATTCTTTTCTTTGGATTTTGAATGCTTCACCAGAACCTTGGCTTGTTTTCTGCCTGCTCTCCCCTCCCAGCCCCTAGACTGACCTCATCGCAAAACCTTCTTTCAGTTTGGCCACTTACAGGAACTCATAAATTTTCAGCAGCAAAACTTTCCCCCTTGCTCCACAACCTCAACCACAAGGCCACGAATGGCTTCTCTTCATGGGGAGATGCCTTGATTTTAAGCAGTACGGTTTAACAGGCAAAAGCTACCGTGTTTAACACTGTGCCGGGTGTCTGTGGTTAACCCCAGGATCCACGGCAAACTCACAGCACAGTGACAGTGGCAGCACTGACCCACGAGCAACACAAAATCTTATTTAATACTGAATTTTTTGAAGCGTGGCTTGTAAAGTGAAATCTATGCTAAACCAATGCCTTTTGTCCTGCACAGGAAGCACCTCTCATGTGGTACAGAAAATCAGGATAATTCTTCGTACCGCAAAAACCCAAGGAGGAGGCACGAGTTAGAGAGGGTCCGTTGGGAACAGAGGAGACCTGGGAACATTGCTATGGTGCTACAACGCTGCTCGTAGCAGCGCTGAAGTGTTTGGGGGGCAAGCTCATTACTAACAAAGAGCATCAAATAACCTTCCCAGCAGCAGAATGAGATTCCTTTGGCTCTCTGCTGAACAGCCAACACCCCCCTCTCATCTGACTGCTCCGCACGGGATCGTCCCTCCGTAGCGTGTCCTTCCCTCCAACAGCGACACCGTTTCCCCGACAGGCGGCCATGCTTAGCCACACGCTGCGTTATGTCCCCAACGGCTGAAGTCTCTTGCAAGCCCGCAGGATCCTCCCCCAGCCCCGGGACACGTTTAAATTTACTGAAAGCCACACGGGTGCCCTAGTAAACAACCTGCTTGCTGAAAGGAGCCACAGGTGATCCCTGCCTACCCCAGAGCCCCTCTTGTGGGTTTTAAATTAAGCAGCTGCTGCTCAGAAAAAGCTGATGCCTTCCCTGGCCAGCCCCATTCGGCAACGGCTCCAGATGCCCCAGCACAGCCTCTGGCTGGACCTCAGCCCAGCGCTGATTATCACTAACCGGTCTCCAGAGCAACTGTGATGCAAAAGGCCACGCTGGAGATACAGGAAGGGGCTAAAGCAGTGGAAAGGACAACGGAACAGATGGTGTCATCAAAACAGGGCAAGGAAACCTAGGACAAAAGGTGCTTTGATCCTCTGCAGCACTGCTCCCCCCTCCAGCCTTTTCAACGCCACCCTGAACGCTGTAAAGCTTTAAGTGTAGCACATAGGCAGCCACGGCTGCCCTACTGTAAAACATTCCTAGCCTAAATGAGAGCAAGAGCAGGCCACCTGGACCAGGGCCAGAAGGTCCGGACAGTCCAGACCGACAGCCACGGTACAGCATCTGTAACAAGGATCTGTCCCTACGTCAGCCACCTCTGAAAAGGGTACGGCACTGCCTAACAGCTACTGCAGGCATCGGTGCCATCCACACGTCTCCATAGGAAGGACGTTCAATCGGAACGGCCCCCAGTGAGCTGCTTGAGACTACAGCCCTTTATAAGACCAAAGAAAGTAGACAAAAATCAACTGTAAAACTCTTCTTCAGCAGCTTAGCAGCCAGCACGCGCCTGGCTAACTTTACAGAGAGGATGGGGCAAAATTCTAGCTGGGGCCGTCTCAACTCCAAACGCTCACTGTGGCAAGCAGTCAGGAAAGCCTCTCCCTGGACTCCTTACATAAACTCTGAAGCACGGTATCAAATTCCACAAAGATGCTATTTATATGCATACAATGGCACATTAGCAGTAAATCAATGCTAGCAAGGGACATGACAAAGAATAATGCCAGCTATCAATCCTTCCCAAACACTGTTTCCCATTAAAAACACCTCCACACCCTAACCCCCAACAAGATGCGTAAGAAACCCCTGCGTATGAGAGCATATCATTAGGGAAAAAAGTAGAGGCAGTACAAGTCAGAAAATGCTGACGTCTGACTTTTTTTAGCATTATGTTTTGAAACCAAACAGGCGTGCTAAGAAGAGAAGGTCTTAAACCACGACATTTAGATTTTCCTTCAAGCCCCTTTCTCTTGGCATTTGTGTATCCTAGAGATCACACGCGTTTCTGAAGTGAAGCGAAGGGAACTTGGTGTTTATCAGAAGCTGCAAAATCAAAATCTTTAAGTGCAACACAGCCACACTGTTTATGTTACTTCCAATTAAAATATTCAAACAGTTTAAAAATCAAAATCTGAGGTCTTCATTCCAGCCAATTTATCAACTACTTCACATTCTACCATGCCTCACTGGCACAGCAGACTGCAGCTTACATTTTAAGCCAGCTCCCTCAGGACACATTTTTTAAAGTTCTGGAAGATCTTTAAATAGCTCCTTGCCTAACCAGCAGTTTGGACGGCACAGCTTTGTTATAGATGCTGAGATCAGTACTGCAGGATGTTATCTGGATACATCAAACCAACTCGTCAGGAAAACACCTCTGGAATTTGATAATGCAGCTCCTCTCCACTTCTGCCCAGGAGTAAAAGCCTGGAACGGGCATACCCATATTAAGCCAAGCAGCAGCACTGAGGAAAACCACCGCCCTGCATTCTCTGCAAGTTAGATCTCTTCATTGCAGAGACGGTGTGTTGCAGCCTGCTTTACTGCATACCACATTAGCTTTACTTCCAAGTTTCTGATGTGCTGCAATAGAGCCCGGCCTGCCTAGACAGAGTTCGGCACTTCTGGCATAGGATAATTTTCTTTCTTCTTGTGCCTAGCTATTAAATCAAATTGTCAGAGCACAGGGCTTACCAGCTCCCTCCCTCCCACTTCAGTACGACGGCGGTGATGTACTGCTTTAGTTCAATCATGTCGCAATGCTCTGAAGCAGAAACTCAATTCTTCTGGACAAGAAATGCTCAGAAGAGAAAGGAGAGGCAGGCAGGGGAAGGGAGAATTAAAGGCTTGGAGTAACTCACCGACGTGATAAACCTGTACAAAGGCTGTCGCCTCTCTGTGTATTTCACTGTGATGGGACTCAGGTCGTAACGAAACCAGATAGCTGGGATAATGCGGCCAGTGTGACTGTAGGCTACGTACTCCTAGAAAAGAAAGTGGGGGAAAAACGGCAGAAAACGTGAGCAATCTCATTCCAGATAGAGCGTCTGCAATAAAACGGCTTCTGTGGATCTGGCCCTTGCTCCGCTGCTTTGTACTAACAACCTGACCGAAAGAAGCAAACAGTTCATTCCCGTATGACTGCTCATACATCCCGGCCTTATCAAATAGGAAAATAAGTGCTTTACAGTCTGATAACGACATAGCTGGGCACAGAGAGCGACGGTGCTTACTCTCACCTTCGTTCAAAGTTACAGAAGTAAACAGAAAGGCTGCCATTGATTTCTCTAGCTTAGATTTCTTCTATTCAAATACGAGCAGTCTCTTAAGTGGTTGCAGGTGAAGTTTTTGTACTGTCAGTATGTAAATCGTATACTGGGATATTCATCAAATAAACAGCATTTAGTTTGCAAGAACCTGAAAAGCCCTTCTTATCCACACCCTCAGAGCAGCAAGCAGCAGCTCCCGTCCGTGAGGCCCCCGTCGCATCGGGACCAACAATGCGAGTGCTTTCCCACTCCGTATGAATCACGCAGAGCCATGTTTAAACCACGTTTAAAAATCACGCTGAAAGCCAAAATGAAACTGTATACAGAAAATTACTGGCAAAGGTTCAAAAATATTCCAAGCTTGTTCGGGAGAGACATCGTCAGTGATGATCTCCGTCAATGCATCTCTTTAATAACAGGCACAGTGCAATCGATCAGCCACAGGACAACACCCCAACCAGACACACTGCACAACGCCAAGGCAGAACAGACACCAACATCGACTTCGCATCAAAAGCCACATCTTTCTGAGCTCATATTTTCGCTGTGCTCTCAGAGGACATACATATCAAGTTTCAAGGACAGTTTCAAGGACATTTATCTTGACAGACTGAATTAAAAAATGAAAGAAAAGCAGGCCAGGGACTCAGCAGTCTGCCGAGAGCCATCAGCACCGGCACGGCACACACCGCCTCGTCACCCAGCTGCTCTTCCCCTCTTTAGCCCTACGACATGCCTGCCAGCTCAGATGACCTCTTCTGTTTTAATTCTCCTTCACACAGAGGCAAAGACAACCTCATATACTTCAGAAAGATGAAGAAAGGACAAGCAATAGCGCACCCAGGAGCATGATACAAAAAAGATAGTTTTACTCTCCGTGAGCTCAGAGGGAGCTAGCGAAATGGCATCTATCCCTTCATTAATCTCATATAAATCACAAATTTCCCTCTATTTAGTTTTTTTTTTTTCCCATGAATGACAGGAGAAGCAGAATGCGGCTGAAATCCCTAGTCACAATATTTTCAGGGCTTTTATTGCCGCAGTTCTGCAGCGTATCTTGGGACGGTGGCTGCCTGGGGAAGGGAGGAAACAGGGCCTAGGAGGCGAAAGGGGAGAGGAGACAGACAGTCCACACTTCAGGCTCTATTTATCTCGTCATACTAGCCCATCTGTGCCAGACTATTCCAATTTCTGTTTCCCACCGATCAGTATGGGAGTCAAGGACTAAAGCACCGATAGGGGAATTTTTATTTTTAATGAGAAGAAAACGCAGAGGCAGCACTGCTTCTCTGCACTTCGGTTTTGATAGAACTGACCTCATTTTTTCCTTCCTCTCCCCTCTCCCCCACCAGCCCTCCTGCCCTCATGAGTCAGTCCTGGCCGAACGCCCCCATTTGCAACCACGCTCACACAAGTGTCAAAAGCTCCTGCTATTTTCCAAACTGTTTTCAGGACTTGCGTCGCAAGAGCCTTATCAGAACAACAGTTGTGACATTAAGCAGAACAAATACATTGTCATCTGAATAGAGGGAGACAGCCAAATCATTGGGACGCGCTGCACAAGCGAGCCCAGAAGTCCCCCGACAGGAACATTAATCGGAGAACTGGTCCATGGGAGCGCATGCTTGAGTCTCAGTTATGGCAAACTAGCTGTAATTAAGTATTATCAACAGATTCTGGACTTTCACTTAGCACCTGACTGGCAAATCATTTTAAATTGAAAGAGGCTTTTTACCTTAAAAAGTAAATAGGTTGTTTTTTTGTTTTTTTTGGGTTTTTTTTTAAGTTCAATATATTGTATTATTAAAACACAAACATCTTCACAATTAATATAAATTAATTTAAGAATTATGAAGTTACCATAACTATCACAATCCACCATAGTAAAGTAGGCACTGTGAAATAGTCAGCCAGTACATATTTCCTGCTGCAGATTCGGTGGCTTAATATGTGAAGTCAACATTTTCTAAAAACTCTGCTAACTTATTTGTCTGATCCATCCCTCGCAATTGCGAGTGTTTTATTAATAAAACCACGTGGGAGTGCTGTTTCGTATGTTCAGCTGGATTCGTTTCCATCCAGATGCACCTCGACACAAACCACAAGAGCTCCTGCAGCACGTAAAAACCTTCCACACAATTTACAGAAATCTAGACCAGTTACGCTGACCTACGAGAAAGTCGGGAGTAAGAACACCGTTCTCTAGAATTCAAACAATACCACCACCCGCTCCGAGAAGGCCTCACGATCCTGGCGAAGGGCAGTGCAGGAGCAGCAGGAAGGCAACTCCTCCCAGCAGAGGCTACTGCTCACCTACAAACACGCACACGGCTGCGGAGCAGAGGAGCAAGAGGGAGCAGGGATGCTGCCTGAAGATCCTCCATGGGGATCCCTCCATGGGGAACCCTCCACCGGGCTGCCATGGGCAGCTTCCCCGAGAACTACCTGCCGCTTTACCTTATTTGCTACAGTGTATTGGTATGAGTATCGCTGCTTGCCGCTCATGTCTTCGTACACCGTCGGGACTATCTTCAGTATGTAATCATGAGATGCAAGAGCTGCGGGCAGAAAAGGAAAGTATCAGTTAGCATTCAGAGAAAGGAATCGCAGCCTACATAACGTTTCAAAGTAAACGTGTGAAATCAACTAAAACAAGTAAGTCAGAAAAGGTATCTCCCTCCTCCTTATCTCAGGTTCTATGACAAAGTGACAATTTCACATCCTACGTTTAGGTCCTTTGTACAAAGCTTTGTAAGGTGCTTGGATGACACCAGAACCTGCCCACCATTCAAGACTTCTGCAGCACCACGACCCACGGAGATGAGTTCGGGTCACCTGAACCTTCCCAACTGCTTGCAGCTATAAATGATAAGACTTATCAGCACCACAAAAAGCTGTCCTGGTTAAACCAAGAACTAGCTAAGGCTAGAGCTGCAGCTCACTGAGCTCCTTGTGACAGGAAAAGCTCAGGCGTAACAACCTGTGCAATCCCATTCCTTGTGCACCCATCTTTCTTTCCTTCTCTTCTTCCTTATCCTACAGCTGCTTAACAACTACTAATTCATTTTTTTTTCATTATTTAAATGGCTTGTGACATTTTTCGTGTCTGCTGAAACAGTTTTAAAACAGAATTCTAAATTATTTCTCTGCAGGATCCTTTGGCCAAGTGTAACACAACGACATTTGGCTCCTGAGAGAGAAGAAAAAAACCAACACCAACCAAATAACCAGCCATAGAAACTTTGTTCCAAGAAGCAGACCAGACTGATACCCTGCGGAAGCCTGAACACTTGAAGGAGAAAAGCTATGCTGAATTGTAGCATGCACTGGAAATTTCTGTTTGTGTTGCTGATCATAAAGAAGGGCAATGAAAATGTCTGTCCTTCCAGCCACAGGGCAGAACTTAAGGTAAGAGCTAACTTGCAATACAAGAACAAGGAAAAGTTCTGGTCGTGGTGACAGCAGCAAAGGGAAGCTATAGGAATAGGATACGGATAAAAAATTCAGTAACTCTTGAGTCGGTTGTAACAGACAACGTCCAGGTTGCAGAAGGGCTGCAAAGGACCTTTTGGGCTAAGACTCCTCTATGGTACTGGAGAAAATGGAAACGTCAGTCAGCAATGTCTGGATCATTTTGACTAAAGAGGCAGATTAAAGACTTCTGGATACACGTGGATATAGTGTTGCACGAATGGCCCTGTTTTCCCTTCCACAGAGAGTGGCTAAGACCTGTAATCACCAAGAATACGTACGATTTGAGCTGAGTTTGTCTGCTCCCTCCAAGGCATTGAATGCTCCGTGAACGTTATGGACCTGGAAAGCAAAAAGGCGTATGAAGAAACTATGCTCCGACTTGGTACTCTTGACCTTTGCTTCCCTATCCTATCCTGTAACAAGGAGATCAGCCTGATTCAACCTTTCCGAAAACAAAGCCTCAACCCACTACAAGATGACTTGAAATATCTTTCAGTGACCATCACCACAGAGGTTGGTTCCAAGTAAAAAGGTTGATTTCACAATGTCTTACAAGATGAAAGTCCAAAACCACTCCAAAGCTAAAGGAACTGCAGTTGAAAGAGGCCAGTTGTGAAATTTCATTGTGAGATATTTCCTAAGAGCTTTGCATAGTTAACTGTGAAATTCATTTATCAGGCTGAAAGGGAAATAAATGGGAGTCATATTCAGGTTGAAACCCAAGAGTTCTCCCGTAAAGGTAGCTCATGCCAGAGCTGTTGGGCTTGTCCAGCTTTAACTCATTAGCCCGGCTTTCACACCGCACGCACTATGCCCTTGGAGATGGGAAGGACACATGCCAACGCTGCCATCCATTCGGCTTTTCCTGCAGCTGGGGCCAGGCATGCAAGTATCCGTTTGCCCAGAATAACAGGATTTCCATCCCATGCCTTCCACATACTATGATCTGGAGTCTGATGTCCACTGACAGAATAATCAATTTGTGACCTCTCTAGAGAGGGAAAACCCCGCAGCAACGGCTGTAGATGAGAGGTTGCATCATTCACATAATGTCCAGTAAGCTATACAGAAAGGACAAATAACTCCACAACCTAGAAACTCCTGACCTTAAGCCAGACAACAGGGAAGAAGAGTTTGGAAGAAGTATTTGGTCAGGGGTGTGACAGAGTTTCACCTCACTAACAGGGCAACGCAATCTCCTTCCCAGACCCTCTCAACAGCTGACAGCATGTGGATGTGTTTGTCTCATCCTAATGGCTGCTTTGCTATTCCGAATGCTACCGAGTGGATGATGGTTTGGAGGAAGCAGCACCTGAATTTGTTTCTCTCCCGAGAAAGGAAATTCTGGAGAGACAAAATCATCAGCAAGTTTGACCGGTAAGGTGCTGGCAACAAGCACGGAGCAAAAGCAACAGCTGAACCTCCTACAGTGCCTTTCCGTCTGCCGGCATTTCAAATACTTTACAGAACAGCAACCGTTTCCGAACTACACACACAGACAGTACATGTTCTTTACTCATTGTAAAAAGCATATGAAGAAAGAGAAGCCCCTGGACTGGGCTACAGTATTATGTTCCATTCTTGATACAGCTGAGAAATAAGTGTCTTAGAGCATACCTGGGCCAGAGACTTTAAGGTCCAATTCAAATTTTAAGGTCCAAATTCAAAACCAGTAAATATTTGAGCGGTTACTCAGCAAACAACTGTATCTATCCTGTGAGGTACCTGTATATTTGGACTTACATTCTTGTCCTTGGCTCCCCAGCATCCACGCCTCTGTTTGTATGTAAAAGTTGTCTGCTCTGCATCTCTCTACACGGCGAGATTGCAAAGCTGTGAGCTACAGAGCTTCCACACAGACGAAGCCAACAGACATCTCCACAACGGCCTGCTTCTGTCCCATCAGGTCCCTTGGTGCATCCGCCTCTCTCGTCTTTGCAACACGGGTGGCATTTGTAACTCCCTATTTGATGTTTTACCATGATTTTCCTTGTGGAATATTCTGGACTCCCATTACAATACTTGCTGTCCGTAGATTGCTAATTAATCCCTGCTCTACAAAGTGCCCAGGTGTGTTCCTCGGGGGAACGTACTTGTTTGTATCTTGTTAAGTACCTGGAGGGACTTCAACAAGGAGTAAGCTTTTGGCCACAGTAGCGAAATTGCTTTGCAACGGAGAACTTGAGCAACCCTGTTCAGCCAGACGTTCTCAGGACTGTCCTGAGCTACCAAGGCCAAATCTAGTGCTTGGAGCAGTGGCACAGGAGGCCAGTCAATGGTTTAACAGTGCCAACGCTTTCTTCTCCTGCAACATGGAGCTCCAAAAGATGCTTGCCAGCGCCTTGAACACCCTAGCCTTTAACCTCTACGAACACATGCAAAGACATATAACTCAGGCAGAGTCCAACAGCAGGCTAAAATAACTTCCAACCTTGCAACTATCAAGGGAAGACAAGACCCCTCGCAAGGTTAAAACCAGGATTATTCAACACGATGATCTAGCACTCGAGAGAATTCTATGATTAAAACCATATAATCTCCTACTTTCCCCATCTCTTTCTTTACTGGGTTACCTGACATGCAAGAACCTCATTGGCTTGAATTTTGGTCTCATCTACATGAGGGAAAAATCTACAAAATTCTGCCACTACTGTGCATGAACTGCTGTTGAAGAACTGAAGCTCATTCAATGCCAGACAAGATTTAAATCTCTATTTCAAACAGACTGTTTTTTCTGGAGAAAAGATCATGTGCCTTAGTGGATCATTCCGGCAGAGTTGGTAACAACCTACAAAGAACTAACTCCCGGCACATGACACAGGCGAACGAGAAGCTCCTCACCCTCTTTAAGAAATACGAGCATATATTACATCAAAGCAGGTGGAGACAACCCAAAATATTCAAAGGTGTACCTAGATAGATCTAAAGCTCTCCGTACTTGCTGGCTCTCTACACTGCTTGCTGAGTCTTGGGAGCACCTGCTCAGTGAACACAGCCGCCTTTAATTTGTGCTGTTGAACTCATGTTTGCCTACAGGATCAGCAGCACCTACATGCTCCATTCTTCTGTAGGGAGATGATGAGCAGTTATTTTGAACTTTGAAAATACTAATCAGAACTTGTCCAAATCAGGAGCCAACCACATGTTTGCTAGACAGGTTTCTCACCACCAGAACTGAAGACACTTGCTCCTTTGCCCCGAACTGTCCAGGCTTCTCGTATCATTCATGCTGATTCACACTTCAGCTCCATTGCTCCAAGACTCCACGATAAAACAATGGGAACGCTACCTTAGAGCGCCAATTTCCCACGCAAACTGCAGAACTCCCTATTAGCACTTACCTAATATTTTTCATAATCTCAGTGTGCTTTACAGACATTAAGCCAAGCTTATTTATATGCTAATATTTCAGCGTTCCCACACAAGATATTTCCTAAAAGAAGCCGGGAGCAGAATCAGAAGACTACAAAGCCACGCTTAGACTTGTTAGCATGAAAAAGGGTTTTGGAAGTGGGTGTACAAGAAGCAGACTAATGAGACGTCTGTGCTGAGGAAAGAAGATTACAGAGAGACTACGGGTAAGCAATGTTTAGGGTGAGTCGCAAACTGGGTGTGCACACATATAACTCCCACCTGTGATGCTAGCTCCTTGGAAGTAGGCTAGAGAAGTGCTGTAATCTGTCCTTATTGAGAAATCAGCAGTTATTACATAACTCACAACACCTGGTGAAACTCTATCCACTGGGCAAGTGCACACATTCAGCTTCTTCCCAGCAGGGAACTGGCGGTTCTACGTCTAACCTGTGTTCCACAGAACAAATCTGACTAATAGGTGTCTGCTACACAAGCATGGTGAAGTGAATTAAAAAGAACTTGACTGGTGCCATGGTAAAGACAGTAGCGAGCACACATCTTCCCTTAGTATACTCACTGCCCCTCCGCTAAGGCAGTCAGGACTTGTTTGCTGTATTAATACTGAAATCAGCACTGCACAGGATTTTGCAAAGCCATGAATCCTCGTTTCTACTCCCCGCAGGAAGACAGCCACATAGTTTTCCAAAAGCACTTTCAGTTTCAGATGAAAACAGCACAGTTACTCTATGACTGAACACTGCTCCTACCTGAAGTGGTGGCACGTAAACAGTTTGCAAACTCTTCTGGACCGAGTGTACCTTGCATGAATGCAAGGGATGGGCTTGCTTACCCAGGCAGTCCTTTCTTCTGCCCTCCCCACACTGCACATGGCCCTTCCATAAAGCCAAAGTCACTCTCATTGCATTCAGCCCCCTAGAGAAGGGCATCTTCAGGGAAGAGAACTCACCTGTAACTTGTCCCCAAATGAGAGCTTGTGGATGATGTGAGTCATGTCAGGATTCTGAGGCTGCGCAGTGGCACTGTGCGTTGACACGTGAAAGTTACCAGGGACCTAAAATTAGTCAAGACAAGGAAGACAGGATTTCACATTTTATCCCTCAAGGCATCGCTAGGCTCTGTGATATGAAGTGGAAACGCCTGGATCCATCCCGCCTGGCAGGCTGTGTCTGCTTAGCAGTGGACAACCTCTGGCACGTCAGAGAAAGGCTCTGAAACACCTTCCTGCACTTGACCACCACCACGCTGCAGACAGAGCGGAGATCGGTTACGTCCTGCAGCCCAAGAGCCTGGCACCCTCACATTGCTACTGCTGCTGACTAGGAGGACATGAGTGGATCACTCCCAACTTTGGGGATTCCTAACACTTAAGGCTATGTCTTTCATCCCTACTGAAATAAGATTCATGTCTCTGACAGGCAACAAACAGTTGCTTAATGTTTTACTCCCACATCTCGCATTTGTAAATGGCCCCACTGCTGCAGGACAACCCAAGAAAGCTGTGGATGTATTCTTATCGTAGTACTGGTCACGAGCGACCTTACATTTGAGAAGATTATCTGTAAGAATGAGTTTTATACAAAAAGAGAAAAAAAACCCCACCAAAACCAACGGGGTTCCCATACAAACTAAGCTAGATCTTCAGCTTCTAGCCCTGGCAATAGCCCTTCCAAGCACAGGACTTTCTGTTTTTAATTTTTTAAACAGAGGGAAATACAAAGTTCTGAAAAATACAGATTTCACCTAAGGACTCAGACCCAAGACAGAAAATGAGCACTGGTGTCATTCCAATGGGATCGCTCTAGCATGCACACACTTTTCAGGTCACTAGCCCTATGCCGTGAAGTCTTTCAGCAGATTCAGCTTAATCACTGTTATGGAGGGTGCAAGAATTTTTTCCTATCGAGAAAAGGTTGGGAAATTAAGCAACGCTGAGGAGCAATCTGACACGGCCTAAGACGAGAGTGGGAGGACGGTTATACAACTGGTACTCGCTGTGCTCGCCGCAGAGACGCCGCACCAGCAGGGCCACGGGAGGCCACATGCCGGATCCATGTGCTTTCAGGAAAGCTAATTTACATGACTTGAGGAACAGCAGTGCACTCCTGGGAAGACTTTCAGGTGTGGACACAGGCTGTGTCATACACAAGCTCGGTAAACAGGGTGGCAGAATCTGCAGTAAGTAGTACACACAGTCATCCCACTGTTACCTTGTCCTCCTCCTTCAGGTTTGAGAAGACACTCAAGTGCAACCCTTGGTCAAGTTTCAAAGCCTGGCCCTGTCCCACTCCAGATATCAGCTCGTACAGAAGCCTGTAAAATTTCTGCCAAGGGACTGCAGACTTTCAGCTCATACACGAGAGGTTCAGGTTTTGGGAGGCAGAAGCGCTGGGTGCGGTGCCCTCCCTCCGACAGCAGTCCCGGCCACTGCCTGAGACAACGCCATCAGGGGCCTCTCACAGGCTAAGCAGCGAAGGGAGCTCCTCGCTGCCGCATACAGCGACCCCTCTGGAGTTGCTTTGGTGAGCAGAACACACCACATCTAGCAGACAAAACCACAAGTATTTCGGCTCTGTGCTTTGGGAATTAACAGAACAAGAACTACCTTTCAAGAAGCCCTTTCCCAGTTCTGTGGACTATCAGCTGCCAGGAATCTTGGTGGCTTAGAGGCGAGGAAAGAAACGTCCTCTTTTTAAGCCCCTAATCCTTTCCATGCCACAGAATCAGTAAGAGGTTCTGCCTGTTATTTTTAGATGCGATTTACCATGACCTGGGAGGAAAAGAAGGAAGTAGGATTTTGTAGCCTGTGGTACATGAGGAGGCGTGAATAAAGGGTGTGCCCTGCTTAGGACACCAGTGGGCCCCAGCACGGCCTCCCCCACCCCACCTAGTCATCTCCAGCATTACATAGCAAGATTATTCAATTCTGAACACACCCATCCCAGAGAGGAGCCTCCTCCTCCAGGCCTGGATTTTCATTCTTTGAGACAGAAACGGAGCATCCCGACAAAGCGTGCGCAGAGCCTGCGTGCACATATGCCAAACATCTCAGCACGGGGCCGCTTCTGTTATGCTGGCACCCTCTAGTAGGGAACATTCCTGTCATTCTGTAGCTCTCGGAACAAAAAAGCACTTGGATAGAGACATTGCCAAAGACCTCTGCACAGTGAGTCACATTTTGGAGGTGCAAAAGTCGTGAGGAGTAAACGTAGAAGCCATTTGGCATTTGTAGGGAGTTCATAGATCCCCTAAACGTTAGGCTGCTGCACTGAAAGAGACAGCGCTGGCCGCAATGCAAAGCTGCTCTCTGCTATTAAGCGATGCTATCTCCATTACCTGTTTTGAAGAACGAAGAAAAAGCCTGATCTGACACGTTCTCTGTGGGTCTAACTACACAGCCTCCTCTCCCCCCGCTGTTCTGCAGCGCCGAGAGGCTTAACCCTACCGCTGGTTAGGGACATGACCGTACGCTCTACAGGAGAGCCACTGACACACGGGTTTTCATGAGCATTTTACAAATGGATCTTGCTAGCGTTTCCCCAGCCGGCACACACTCACCCGCTGTCCTTCCAGCTCACCTTGTTGATGCTGAAATGGCCCTCAAACCTGCAGCCATCCCCATTATTGAGAGGTATCTTCATCGAGTTGTCAATGTGACCCACTTCGTGCCTTCCCATTTCATCTTGGATGTCTAGTCCCACTACTGCATGGGTGGGAGGGGAGGAGACAACAAATCAAAACAAAAGAAATAACAGGAAGGTTGCATAGGAAAAGCATGCACTGTTTTTACTGAGGAAAAAATCCCCATCTTTTTTCCTGACATTTGACTAAACTGTGCTAGTAACGTCATTTGTCAAATATTAATTGTTATACCAGCTCTTCAGAAAGAGCTTTGTAACCAAACTTTTCAGACTGCCTACTTGACACAAATAAACCTCCCGTACCCTGCCAGCTGACTGCAATCTCAGTTACACAAATAGAAAAACTTCAGGCGGACAAGGCAGGTGATTTGTGAAAAGCCAACAACTCGCTGCTGCGTTCAGAGTTACGAAAGAAACTCGGAAGGTTTCTTGCTCCCAGACACCAAACGGTTGCTAAGAAAAAAGGAAATGGGATTTAGAAAGAAGCCGGTGAGGGAGGTCAGCCGCTAACACAGGCTGCGGAGCGAGCACAGGGTGCAAGAAGACAGGGGTCCTGCCCTGGCACAGAAAGCGATGGGGTGTTGGTAAAGGCTGCAGCTACTTGATCTCCATCCACCTGGTTACAGAAGAAGGGCCACTGTACCAGTTTGGGCCCGCTTCAGGTATTCCTTAAAATACAGAGAAAAACTGATAACTGAAAAGGGGTACTCACATTCACAATGCAGGTTTGGCAAACTGATGTTCAGATTCACTTCTATTTTGCCTCCGCTGTCTTTGTCTGGGTCATCCACGTAGAGCTCATTAACTCTGGAGGACAGAAAACACAGGCGAGTTCAGGCACACAGCCACGTTCCACAGGAAAAAACCCAACAACTTGCACGGGAAGGGAAAAAAGGAGACTTTGAAGCAGGGGGCTGGACTGTGTGACAGCCGCCACAGAGCTACAGGACAAAGAGCAGGGAAAGCCCTCCACAACTGCACAGGGGCAAATCACGATTTAACTTTACTTCTTGCTTGGCAAGTGCAGGAGGCTTTAAGCAAGGCCCGTGCACCAGCAGAAAACAAAGCTCCGGCTCGGACCTGTGCTGCCTGCCCCCTTCCCCAGCCTGAGCTCCCAGGGCGATACAAACAAGAACCCGATGCTGAAGAGGCGGCAGGCAAGCGTGCTAGCCCTCCGCACACCTGGGCTGTCACTCCTTTGAGGAAAAAGGGAAGCGTGCGCTTTTCGATTTGGTTCATAAATAGTTGTAGAGAAAGGCTGCTCGCAACTCTCCCCCAGGAAAGCTTATTTGTGTCACTAATTGGCTTTTGTTATTGCTATCCAGCTGACAGAGCAGCGGCAAGAGAAGGCAGCATGGCCTACTTGTATCTCTCTCCTTAATATCTCATTTCGATCTATGAATGGTAACCAAAAGCAACGACTAAAATTGAGAAGTGGATTTGAGCCAGGAACAGATGGGAAGAAACATCCTGGACGGCAGGATCTAACACACTACGCAACAGCCTCCCAAAGAGTAATGTTGTTTCACAGCACCCACAGTGCTGGCACATATTTCACAGAAGACAAAATACAGATATAGAGCGAAAGGAATACAGGAGTATAAATATTTATTGTTGGCACATACAATCCATCTGACACGTAAAAAAAGAAAACCAACTCAAACACAGCTGAATTAGCTGAACGGTCCTAGAGAACCCACGCCAGGGAAACCCACCACACCGAAGCGAGATGGCGAGATTACCTAGCAGCTCTTTCTCCCTCAAAGTCCAACACACTTCAGCCTCATCAAATAAGAAGATTTGACAATTTATCTTCCAGTCGGGCAGATTACAAAGGTATGGGAACGTATGTTGAGGCAAGCTACATAAACTAAACTACCTTCGCTAGTAAGTGCTCTGTATTATTTTTATTTAATGCTCAAAGTGCATGAAACCCTTTGACAAGCCCTTGCCGAAGAGTCTATACGCTAACAGACAAACCAGACCAAGGGCAGCTACAGACTCAAAGTGATTTTGCTCTGGTGATACATCTCTGGCCCATAATGAACTGTTTGCCCTGCGGATTCAGAAGAACCAAGCCTTCACACTGAGAAGCACACAGCTGCCCATTTTTTCGGAGGTAATTGCTCACAGGTCAGTGGGGTTTACAGACACTCATTTAAAACCAGCACAGCATTTGTCTTCAGCTTCACAGCCCTACCTTTCTCTGTCTTTAATTGGCTTGACAAGTTGCTTGCAATCATTACTCAACGTATTTTTCAAGTGATTAATAAAAATGACACAGAGGGAGGGGAAAGATTGCTCATCAGTGACCTAGTTAGCAGCTTCTTGGCTGAGCCCTCTTCTCCTGGGCGGAATGCATTAAATCTTCTACATGTTTATTACTGGCAGATTGGGTAGCGATTGGGATTAAGTCATATGTCCAAATACGTTTGTGAGGAGCAGCTCCAGCCAGGACAGGCATTAATCCCCCAAAGCAATGCACCTTTCCGCGCTCCCTGAGTCCTCCCATCAAGATCCCAGTTGCCAGCCAGCCCGTTTCATAGCAGCACCTGGCTTCTTCCCAGCTCTCTGCCACCCGAGATGTGGGCCGTGCCCAGCCAGCGCCACGGGCAACTTGATGTTACTGGCAAAAAGGAACGTTCGCGCCAGGGCTGGCAGAGGAGCGCGTCAGGTTCAGCAGCTCAGCTGAACACGCCAGCGCTTCAGAGGAAAGCTCTAGGAAGGTCAGTATTTGTATTTGCTGATTTCCAGTTCTGAACCTGCCAGAAAACGTGCGGCCAGGCGCGGTCTGTGAGCAAAGGCACATAAGCCTTTCAGTGAGAAGCGAGTGAGAAGTGGTTGCTGGTAGAAGTCGAAGAATAAACTGTGCACAGGGAGCCCATGGAAGCTCCTGCCTAGGAAGGCAAGCGGTGAGGTCACCCGGCTGCAGACTGGATCACTGAGGCAAAGAGAAGCAGGCCAGCTTGTCCACGTCACGCAGCCCATTAGTCGCAGATAAAGGAAACTGGTTTCCTGTCCTGCGCTCGGGTCACTGGACCAACAGATCCCAACCTGTCCCTTGGGCAAGGCTGACGGCCGCTTCCTCCTCCTCCTCACCTAGTAGCCCCCTGCTCCTCTCCTACTCATGTTCCTAATTTCATAACCCTGTCTATCACTCCTTAGACATCTGACAGCTCGTGACAGTCCGTCCTTCCTTCCCCTCCCTTGGACCTGCAGTGCCACCTTTCATGGAGCACCCTGCCTGCCGAACCCTGCTTCTCCCTCCCAGCTCCGGCCGCTGCCTCCTGCTGGCAGCATCAGCTCTTGCAGAGGGCCCAAGCTAACAAACCCAGCAAGGTTTCTCATCAGGGGCTCCCAAGTGCACCCTTTGCGCTGACCTGCTCTGTTACCGAGGTTCCTCTCGCTACGGGGAACCAAGGGCACAATGACAACACACCCCAGGCTACGCTTGCTGGGGCAAACCTCAGAAGAAACGTCGTCATTTTCAACAAACTGGAAATTTCACCCCCAAAATACAGTCTGGGTACCTCACAGGTAAAGCAAACTTCCAGGGTCAAGGCTACTCCTTCCAGGATCTCCTCCTGAACCACCACCACCTAACTCTGGATGGAGCTGGCAGAGAACTGGCACCCACGCCTCCCTTGCTGTCCTCCTCCCCAGGGCCAAGAAGCCAAATTGCACACAGCCTTCCAATTATTTAACCGGACAATCCCGGGATGCTGGGAAAAACACCATTTACCACCTCTAGCAACTCTCCCTGAAGGGGGAGAGTGGAAGAAATGAAGTTGGCTCTAATTTATAGCTGTCCCTCCTGGAACATAAAGTGTCCCAGGAGTGACAGTCCTTAATAGTGAATCTGGGCTGGTCACAAGGGAAATAAAACCCGAGGTCATGCAGAAAGATGCTGTAAACACAGCTGCTTCTATGGCTGTTTAGGGAGGCAGCATATGGGGTCGTACTGTGACTCCAAAGATGGCACGCACCTCCTCCGAAGACCCTAAGCACGTAGGAGTTGGTATTTTACTGGCTGCTGTTAAGGACTATTTGAATAAAAGTGGCACAATAATGCAGAGGTGAGGTGCAGAGCTATGAAAGTACAATGAAGGCAACAGGACAGGCGAGAGGTAGACCTCTCCCTCCGCAGGGCCTCCCACCGCTGATTCAAGGAAAGGGAGGAAAGTTTCCCCATGCAGCAGGAGCCGTGATCCACACAGAAGGAATCTGTTTCACTTCTAGAAAAAGCCACTTTGAAATACTTCACATTCCTGAGCGGTGCTGCTGGTCTGCTCAGCCGCTTTTCCCGTTTGCTTACAAACTCGCAGCATTACAGAAAGAGCTGGAGCGACTCTTTGGCTAAGACTGCAGATCACGCAAATGGCACGCGAGAGAGAATGAAAGGGG